GTCTGAGGCGCCTGATGGCAAGGAGCCTTGTATATCATGTAGATGATGGACCACCTGGAGCAGCACAGGAAGGAAGGCCGTCACAACCTCCATGAAGCCCCAGAAAGCCTGATAGTTTTAACCAGGTCAGAAGGACCGTTTTCTTCAAGCAAACTTATGTCTAAGTGACAAGGCCCACTCACTGTGGTTAGGAAAATGACCCCAACCACATATGAGGTCCTGTATCCAGAAAAGGGGGAACCTTCTTAAATCCTTGAAGGAGAGGGGTTCCACTGGAGAACATATCCCTCTTGGTTTGCCAGATTAAAGAGGATGATGATTCAGAAGTGGTTGTGGAGGCCTGGAAAAAGCCTGGGAAGATCGACCTGACTGATGTCGCCTGGATGGTAACCAACCAGTGGAGTTACGGTAGGTGTTCGCAAGCGCTCCACTGTTGTTCCAAGAGAGACCAGGGCTGAAGACCATACTGAAACATTCATGTTCGTCTCACGCACACGCCCGCCCCTGCCAAAGTTGAACTGACTTGAACTTTCTGTAGCCTACGTGACACGCAGCACAAAAAGATGTATGAGAGACTGATCCTCGCCGTCTGTGACTTCCCTGAAATATATGTGTTCACTGAACAGTTATTGGGACATTAACAGGAGGGCATTTGCATTTATCAGCTATAGGAATATGAATAATATATATATAATATAATATTGCCTATCAACTAACGTTACTTATAGTTTTACTTTAAACTAGGCTATGAAGGAATACAGTAGAAGGATGTAGCAGGATGAGGGACTGATACTCTCCATCTGTGATTTCCCTGAAATATATTAACAGGACATTAACAGGAGGGATTTATCAGCTATATGAATATGAATAATATAGCCTATATAATAATATAGCCTATCAGCTAACGTTACTTAGCCTATAGTTTCACGTTAAGCTAGGCTATGAAGGAATACAGTAGCGCACAGAAGCCGTTGCCGTGGTTACTATCTACAGAGTGCCTTCCGTTTACTCGCGGAGCGCTTGTCTCGGTGTCTGTTCACATGAGAAGCGCAGAGCAACCTCGCGGGGCCAGGTGACTACGCAGGCGGAGTGTTGCTTCCCATGTGAAAAGACCTTAAGGTAGGAAGTGAAAGGCAGAATGGATGAGATGAAGGAAAGACCAAAAAATAATGCCTTCAGTTCCAATAGGGTCCTTGCACATTTCTCTTGCTAGGGCCCTAAATATACCCCCCAATGTACCCACAACAGTTACATTTTCATTCTCTTAGAAACACAGCGTTACACCACGTGACTTACATAAAGTACTTGATACTGCAATTTATTTTCAGTTGGATTTGATTTGTAAAAAAAAACCTCTGCCCTGTAGCCTAACCTGGGGCACTTCTTATTTTGAGATTATGTGAAACAAGATTGCATCGTGACCAAGTTTTAAGTTGAAAACTTTGCTCCTTCCATGAAGATCACTGAGTCTGTCTTCATTTTAGCCCCATCAATATGATTTGTATACTTCCTGAATCTTTTTACCTCATGGAGGAAATGTTGAGAGCAGGTGGAAGTTTGGGGAGACCAAGGTCAAATTTGGAAAAAGATGAGAAATCTTAGTTCTAACTAAAGAACTCATTTTATATTTAAATTCCTAACTTCAAACCATCTGGATCAGTGTGATTTCTCATGAGCTGGGCATTATCTTAAGAAGCCTTTAATAACAACTTTCCTAATAAACTCCAGAACAGCTACTAAATGGACCTTTACCTGAGATTGTTTTGTCAACTGCAGTTTCCAAGGTAAAGCATAAATTTGAACCTCTTGATGATTTTGCTGGCGGCACGGTGGTGCGATAATAATAATAATAATAATAATAATCCTTATTTGTAGAGCACTTTTCAAAAACAAGTTACAAAGTGCTTTAACAAGTGTAAAGAATAATACAAAAAAACAAGAGCATGAAAAATTAATATAAAATTAGTGAAATACAATAAAATAAAAGGGATAAAATAAAGTCAAATAAGATCGGGAAAGGCTCTCCTATAAAAGTATGTTTTAAGAAGGGACTTAAAAGAGTTCACTGACTCAGCCGACCTGATTTCCTCGGGCAGGCTGTTCCAGAGCCTCGGGGCCCTGACAGCAAACGCTCTGTCCCCTTTAGTTTTCAGTCGAGACTCTGGAACAGACAGCAGACCTCTGCCCGAGGATCTCAAGGTACGTGCTGGTGCGTATGGGACTAAAAGGTCAGAAATATAACAAGGCGAGAGGCCATGAAGAGCTTTAAAAGTGATCAATAGAATTTTAAAGTCAATTCTAAAACATACTGGGAGCCAGTGTAATGAAGCTAAAATAGGAGTAATGTGGTCATATTTCTTTGTTCTGGTTAAAAGCCTGGCAGCTGAGTTCTGGACAGTCTGGAGTCGATCAATAGATTTTTGGGTTAAACAGGTGAAAAGGCTGTTGCAATATCCAGGCGTGATGAGATGAAGGCGTGTAAAATGGTCTCGGTGTCCTTAAAAGTTAACATAGATCGAATTTTTGCTATATTTCTAAGTTGATAAAAACATGATTGAACAAGCTTTGTGGTGTGCTGCTCGAAATTTAAATTACTATCAAACCAAACACCAAGGTTCTTTGCCACAGGCTTAATGCGATTTACTAGGGAACCAGCAGATGGCAGTATTTGATTTGCCATCTGCTGGACCCGATGACCAGGATTTCTGTTTTGTCTGAGTTCAGCTGGAGGAAATTATTTGACATCCATTTTTTAACTTCACAAAGGCAGTTGTTAAGTGAACTCAGCATTCCAGGGTCTGTGGATCTGACGGGCAAGTATATTTGTGTGTCATCAGCATAAATATGAAAAGAAATGTCATGTTTATGGATAATATGTCCAAGGGGAAGCAGATACAAGGAAAACAAATGGGTCCTACGACCGACCCCTGAGGCACACCATATTTAACTGGACAGAACAAAGAGACATAGTTGTTTACAGACACACAAAACTTCCTATTTGACAGGTGGTCAAATAGGGTATGACCACGGTTATGGGTTTGCCCTTGACATGTTGTTTGAAGTTAAAAGAAGTGGCCATATTTAAAAAGTTAGTTGCATTAACATTGGTGGGGTCATCAACATGAATATTAAAATCGCCACAAAGAACAATTCTGTCATAATTTAAAACCAGAGT